TGGCTGTTCTGAGAAAACGGACAGGGTGGTGGTGTTTAGAGTGGCACAGAGCGAAAAGAAGTAAATGATTTCTTTTCTTTTTTTATTCGTAAGCGTTGTGAGTTTTCCAGAGAGGAACTGATTGGGTACAATGTATTATCTACAGATAGAGGGGATAGCTCTCTATAAAGAATCATTTGAAATTGGATTTCTTGTTACCAGAGACCAGGGGAAATCCTTGAAAAGCAATATGCTAATAAGAGGGCTATTATCTGAAAACCGGAGGGCAGGAACCTAGGAAAACAGAACTAGATTTGCAACCCAAGTGTTCTAGAGCTTAACTAATGTTGCTTTCTAGCTGCATCCCGTTGAGTTCCATTTAGTCCATATAACATGGTGCCCATGGACCAGATTATACGATAGGTGGTAATAATTTCATTAGTAACGTGGAGCCCAGCGTACCGTATTAAACCAAGTAGACCTGAAGGAATGGTTCTAACTGAAGAGGCACCTAAAACTGCTGGAAAAGAAGGAAAAGCAAGAGCGTGTGAGTTGAGAATACACAGGCTTCCTTCCATCTTTTGTGCAATAAGCAGGTCTTCTTTGGAAAAGTAGTATTTGAGCTGGGCTTTAAAATCCAGGCAGGCTTTTCCTTAAATTGCAAGAGAACGCCACTGAAAACAAGACAAAACAGAACAGAAGTGGCAATAGAGTCTGGCGTGGAAAGACGGGGGCCTATCCCGTGACATCACGCGCTTTGGTTGACCGGAGGAGGCACGTAGCACACGGGGACCCTTGGAGGCCAGTGCAAAGCATTGGAACTTCGGTGGAGAGCGGGGACCCCGGGGTGTTTTCAGCAGAGAAATGCCACGTTCAGAGATACCCTTTAGGAGTAGAAATCTAACAGTGATGTGAAGAAGGTCAGAAGGAGATCATCTGGAGACAGGGGAGTCGGGAGGTTCTCACACGGGGACAGGGCAAAGAAAGGTAAGGAGGAGACTACGTGGTCCTTGGAGGTAAGAAGTCCAGGTGACTTGGACCTAGGAGTCCTGATTTTTTGACCCTCCGGGGGAAAACGGAGCGTCTACATTTTACTCCCCTTCTGATTTTCCTTCTCTTAACCTTACCCTCTCTTCTTGGGCGGAAGGAGGTCCTCGCGAAACTTGGGAGTTCCAGAGTAAGCCGTTTTCTGCATCCCTGTGAACCACGTTGGTCCTCAGACCATTTCTGCAGCTCTGGCTTGACAGTCCTAGGATTTGGGTCTGATTCCTTGGTTCACAATGGAAGCTCTGAAAGCAGAGGAGACTAGACCTCACCATGCTAGCTGTCGCCCTCACGATCCTCTCTACGCCTCGGGTTCCCTGTCACAGCATGGGGGGGGGGGGTAGTAACAAGGCCTTCCTTGAGAGGCGGTGCCTGGCACACTCAACATGGGAGCTGGAGGGGTACCCGGTCAACGCTGTTGGTTATCACACATCCACAACTGCTTAGCCCCAACACCCTGAAACACCTAACTTTTGTGACGTGTTTGGCTGCAACAGCTGACCTCTCCTGAACTCATTTAGCAGCAAACGTTGACCTGAGCTGACACGAGGCTACTTATAGTCCTTATTTATCCCACTTTGGGCTCACATTCAGACATCTTCCTGCAGAAATATGAATGAGCCTGATTGCAGGGTGCTGCCCCAGCCCCACTGGGCGTGTTAAATGATGCCGAGCCGGCAACATCTTACCGATCTGAATCCGAAACATTCCCCATGCCAAAGCGCATGCGGCCCCCAAGGCGTCAAAGATGGGCTGCGAATTCATATTGCGAAGCTCACTCTTTTTCAAGGAGTGGTTGGTGGCCTCTGCGTTCAGATGAAAAGAAGAAACCGTCAACGTTTATTGTATTTTATTTTATTTTATTTTATTTTATTTTATTTTATTTTAATGTTTCAGATGCTTACAAGGGAAACAGAAGGGGACTCCTCGTGTGCATATTGTCGGCCCTGGAAGCCCTGAGTACAAAGCCCACCTCCTACGAGGAGTTTCGGTTTACGAAACCTCTTCTCTGTGCTTGCTCCCTCCTTTTATCTCCTCGGCTTCCTGTAGACGGAGCCTGGATGGAGAGAAGTTGGTTACCGTCATCTTGAACATGGGAGACTGAGGCTCAGAGAATGACTTTCAGGAATGTGTCCCTCGGGGCGGAGGAGTGGCCCAGGACAGTCCTAATTGCTCTGGCATCTTTCACCCCGAATGGAAGGTCACGAGGCCAGGACCACCATAAACTAGGCTCTGGTCCTGAGACCCTCTTCCTTTATGCCCCCCAGGGGCAGTCACAGCCCACGGTAGGCGCTCAATAAACCAGCCTGGGATTGGACTGGCCTATGTGTTTTCTGCCATTTTCTCCCCTGTCTCTCCTCCCTCACTGCCCGCTTCCTTAGGCAGCAAGGGCAGGGCCACTGAGCCCCACAGAGCAGCCCGGCTCTCTTTCATTTCTTGGAGGCATCCGGCAGAAGTTTGACAGTGGGGTGTGCCTTGTGCGTCGGCGTTTCAGCCAAGTTTGTGTTTGCCGGCTGGCCGTCCCCCTTCGCTGTGCCTCCTACACGGTCCGGCAAGATGAGGGTCTCTGAGCTTCCCACCCCGAGGGATGGGACTCCCACACGCCTCTGGGGGCTAGCCTTTGACTCCTAGGGTGGCATGTCACCAAACAAAAACCCTGAAGTGAAACGCATCTTCCAGTAAAGACCGGCAATGGGTCCTGGGCGGGTGTCGACACAGAGGGGCGCTTACTTGGCAAGGCCCACGGACGGGGCGGGAGGCAGGCTGGGAACCGTGTGGGTTCTGCAGTTCCTGGAATCTTCCTGCCTCTACCTCCATCAGCTCCGCCTGAGAATAAACGTGCCTCTGTTATTCCAGGAACACCTCAGGTCCTACTTCTTCTGTAAAGTCCAGGCCCTCTTGATCTTCATCAGTTAGACTTGTCCACTGACCCCCGCAGCCATCACTCCCTGGAACTGTCCTCAGAGCCTCTGACATCACTGGCTTGGACAGCGGGAGCTCCTACCGTCCAGTCCTCCGCCAGACCCTCTTGGTGTCTCCCGCTTTTTCCCGGCACGGCCCCGTGCAGATGCCTGGCTGTCAACCCGAGTGCCTGGATCTCCAGGGGAGACCCCTGTTCTCCCCAACAGCTTCCCTAGCCGCCCCCCTCCATCCAGCAGGGTTGTGCGTTGTTCTAGGACTGCAGGCCCCATACCAAGAGGCACAACCAGACCCCCTCTCTTTCTACTACTACATTCTGGTTCTAAGTTGATTTGGGGGTCAGAGGTCCCACCGGGACTCTAGGACACTTATCTTGAAATGCACACAGGTAATAATACCTTTTATTGTTTGTTTCCCAGGGGCGTCTAAACCTCTGATCTTCACCCAGGGACCCCCCCCCCCAGGGCAGTGGTTCTCAGTGTGGTTCTTGGGCTGGTGCCAACATAATCCCTGGGTTGTCTGGTTGGTTTTAATGCAGAGTCTCAGCACCCCCCACCCCCGCCTCCAAATCAACTGAAACAGGATGGATAGGCAGGGACGTCAGATGAGCTGTCCAAACCACATGGCCAGCACGTGGTAGTGCTGGGATTCCAACCCAGGCCTTGGTTCCCAAGGCCATGTTGTGATTCACTAAGCAATGAACTCTCTGGTGTGCCAAGAAGAAAAGAACAGGGTGGTTGAGGGATGTTCAGGGCGGGTGTGTGTGGCGGGGGGGGGGGGTGGTCTGAGGGAGGCGATCTAAGATTTAGGGAGGAAACAGGTGGCGTCAGTATATTCCAGGGCTCTGTCCCCGGATGTCCAAGCCCTGCAGTTACCAAGACCTTGCTAAGACATCTCACCGGGGGATGCCCTCCCCGGTGCCTGGCTCCTCTCTGCTTCCCCTCTGCCCTCTTAGGCTGCCCAAGAGAGACCAGCGATGGCTGCTGTCGGCTGAAAAGCCCATCCCCTTGAAACCCAAAGACACTGAGACTCCTTAAAACATTAAGGGTTCAAGGCGTGCAGCCCCTGAGGGAACAGCCCAGGCACAGGCAGAGAGGGGCAGAGAGCCAGAGCCCTCGGCCAGGTGGGACTTTCCAGGCAGGACTCTGTGAGAAGCTGATAACCAGGACCTGTAGCCTGCCCGAGGCCGGGAGCCCCAAAACGCTGTGTCATCCCCTTTCTCCCGCGGTGTCAGCGGCGCTGCTCGCCCGGGCTCCTCAGGAACCCGTGGTTGGTTTTGTGGTCACCCAACAGTTTTATGAAGGCCCTTGAAGTGCTTCAAGTACCAGGTGGCCCCAGCGTGGTTTAACTGTCTGGGGGCCCGAGCTCTCCCAGTGGCCACCTCAGTAACGTAGACAGCCTTGATGTGAGAATTGTTCAGTTGGCCGTGACAATTACATAATGCACCAGAAGGGCAAGGTTCGCATTCGCGGTAAGGTCAGGCGTTATAAAGGCACACACTGTAAGGCGGTAGGTCAGACCGCACCTCCGTAGCACTTACCAGTCTCTCAAGTTGACTCAGGGGTCATTCTCTCATTGGTGGCTTGTTAGTCCCATTTTGCAGATGTGGAAACTGAGGGTCATCAAGGTCAGGCGTCTGTCCTGTGGGCCAGACAACTGACTAAGAGCTAGCTTCACAGCTTATGTCAGATTGCTCCCCGATGGCCCCACTAAGGCTGAGATCACCCCCATTCTGCGCACAGTGGTGCTTCCCAGGTCCCGGCCAACTGCCCTTCCCAGCCAGCCAGTGCCTCTTCCTCTCTGGGAAGTTTCTGGGAGAGCCGTGGCTTAGAGCTCGCAGCAGGTAGGAGCAAGACAGCTATATTTCCTCTTGGTCTTGTTCCCAGATGATCTGTCAGAGAGCACTTCTTAGAACAAACGCAGAATACAAAATAACTCGTGCCGCCTTTCTAAAGCCCCCAGGAAGCTTTGGGGTGACATTTTAACTGCCTCCTATCTTGATCTCAGCCCTTGGTTTGCTTTCTTTAAGCACCCATCGGAGGCTGGGCACCAAGGATACAACCAGGTGTGAACCAGGGGCCCCGGGGATGCCAAGGACTGAAGATGCAAACGCACATATGCACCCGTGCACACGGGTGCATATGTTCATTTCCCTTCCAGCCCTGGAAACAGCAGTCTACGGGGGAAGCCACGCCGACCTGGCCACGGAACGTATATGCGTGCACGCCCAATGAGGTGTAAGACACTTCGCCTTTCTGCACACACGACTTCATTTATCCTCACTGTGGTAACTCCCCTTACCATCGTCTTTGCGAAATGGACGGTCCCGGTGTATCGTAGATTTGCGTATATTTCCATATTCTTCACCGGCTGCGCGTGGGCTTTCGACCGAAGCTCCCTGTCTCATTAATCATGATGTTCTCGCTTACTGATTCGGCCAAAAAGTGGTCGTCGAGCATCCGGGATCTGCCAGGCTAATGCCAGGCAGAAGAGAAGAGCAGGCTTGGGGACACGCTCCTGCACGAACGAATAAGTGGGTGAACAGCTGAATGGTTTATTGCATGCTGGGGAGACTGGGGGAAGGTGCCGTGGGTGCAGATGCCGGGGGGAGACCTTAGCGTTGCCAAGAGAGGAGGTGAAGAGTCTTTCCTTGGCAGAGACAGCGAGCTGGGTGAGGGAGATGGCTTGACACGTACGGGGTTGGGAGCATTGTCCAGCTGTCCACGAGGAGCCGTGGGAACAGCTGACACCTGTTCACCCCTCTTGCCATCAACATGCACAACCGTGAGCTGCGGGCTGTAGGAGTCTGTACCCCATGGAGGTCACTTTCACATTATATAAGCTCTTGCGTGTAAAACACACAGCCTGGCGTCCACAGGGCCCCCACTAAAATCTAGCCGTTAGCAAGACTGTGAGTAGACCCACAGCAAGGTGCCTGCTTGCTTGCCTGAGCCGCCATTTGGAAATATGTGCGTGCACATAAACATTCTGATAGTTGAAAACTAAAATGCGGATGGTATGACCAGATCTGGGCTCTCCTGATCGCCGCTCTTTCCCATCTCCTGGCAAAAGCCTTTGTAACATCTGTGAGAAGATTATGAGAAGCCTTCCAGGCTGGCTGAGGCCTCTGGCCCGCCAGTCTCCTCGAATCACTGGGGCATCCCTTGTGCCCCCCACTTCTGCCTGCAGGGTCTCCTGTTGGGGAGGGTCTCTTCTCCTTCTGGGTTGATAACCAGAGCTGTATAGACCCAGGTCCCCTGAGCTGGAGGGTAACCCAGCCCACCAATTATGGGAAACTAAAGCCAGGTAATTTGAACCCATCTGCTGGGCGCCTGACCACAAACCACCTCTTAGCTCACCCCAAGCTGGATCCTGTTACTTCCCCAGTGCCTGCCCGGCTTCATTACCACGGCCATGGGAAGGGAGGAAACCAAGAGGTTACCGGGTCTTCGGTTAGCGCTTTGTCATTAGCGTGGTTATTACCCTGGTCCTCCCTCCCGGGAGACTTCTAGATATAGGGGCCGGGGGGGGGTGATTTGGTAACAGGACCACAGGTTCCCAGATCTCACCAGATGGAGTGGGGTCCTCATCAGACAGCCTAGCAAGGGGTGGGGGCAGGACGCCTGGCAGGCACGGACAGATTCCAGGAGGCCAGCCTATAGCTTCTTGCTGTAACTGAGCGCCACGAGATCAGGCGCTCCACACATGTCTCTTGGGGGCCATTATGGTGACCGGACAAAGCATGGCCATTGGTGCCAAGCGAGCTTGGTTTGGGAAAAAACAAATAAAAATTCTGCTCCTTACCGTATTATAGAAAGTGCCTTAAACACACAAGTCTCAAGTGTCCTGACATGACAATGAGGACAACACCTCCATTCCAGCAAGACTTCACGATCCATAGATTAGACTATCTTCCCAGAACCAGAGCACAATCGGACATCTCCATCAATGTGGAGTGAGCTACGCAGTATCGTAGAAGCCAAGAGAGAGGGTTTGGCCACCTAGGGTCGGTGGGACCTCTGGGACCACCCAGACCAACCCCCACATCCTCTCTCTGAGGGTGGCACGCACCTCGTTCCTATTTCACAGACTGGAAATCGAGGCTCACGGAGGTTCTGCCCTGTTCAAGGAAGCACACGTACCGAATGGAAAATTGGCCACGGAGATGCAGATGTGCCCACATCACGTATCAGTGATGCGGGAGTAAATACACGTGAGAGTCTGGAACGTGGATGAAGGATGATACGGTCCATATTTTTTTCTATTTCATTGCAGAGTGCTAGAGGGAGAGGTGGGTCCTCACCGCTGTGGTCTTGTCCTTGGTCATGGATTCTTTTCTTGGGGAAATCTTCAATGCCAAGTAACTACGAAGCCTCCTCTCCCAAATGTGATTCCACTCTCAACCCCATCCTGCATTTTACCGAGCATCTTGGGCCGAAAAAAAATTAAATAAATAATGATAGAAGTCCATTTGACTTCAGCATAGCAGAACTAAAAGAGTTTTTGAACCAAGACTAAATTGATCGTGGTAATCTGCCATCGGGAGAGGAACCAAGGAGCACTTTTGGCTTCCAGCCTCGTACCAAAGTCCCAGTCTAGCGGAGAGAGCTTTTTGCTCTATCAAAAGGGACGGTGCTGTGCTTCCAACTGCGTTTATATTCTAACATCTCATGAGCCTAAAATACCGGCAGGTCTAGCACAGGCTCTTTCTCGTTTCTTTCTTTCTTTCTTTTTTAATGATTCCAGGAGTCCGTAGGAGGAGGCACTGCGGGTGCTGTTAGGGTCCAGTCTCAAACGAGCCCCAGCACTGGCCCCGCCGATGCTCACGCCGATACCACGTCCCCGGCCTCTGTTTGGTTGTCATTTGCACTGAACCTCCCCCCCCCGCCCTCCTTGGTGGCTGTGCCTCCATGTTGACAAAATGTGACCCATTCGATCTGCCAGGAGGCAAATCTTCAGATGTCTCCCAGGCCAGGAAAGAGAACATGTTGGTCTCAAGAATGGACCGGGCTCGAAGCCATCCTTCTTACATTCCTTCCTCAGTCTCCCGTATCTAATATCGAACTGCCTCTTGGACGTGCCTCACCCGTGGCCATTCTGCCTTTGCATCCCCCAGCTGATGGGAAGCTCACCACGTCACCAGTTCGTTAGAGCCACTCTCCTGGTAAGTTTAGGAGCTGCAGGAGTTGGTGTTTGCCCGTAGTTCTAACCTACTCTCCCCGCCCCTCATCTCTGTAAGCAGAGGTTCGATCTCCAACCATGGCGACTCTGTCCTGAAGAGCGCTAGAGTTTGTCCAGCCTCAGAGGTGGTGAATGCGAGCTCTCTGGCCCGAGCGGCAGCTCTGGGCATGGCTGCTTAGCCCCTTAGTCTCAGTTCAGGGGGTACCCTTCAGGAACGCCTTCCCTGACCGCCCACCTGCAGTGGCCCCTCACCATGCCACCGCTGTCACCTGCATTCACTCCCTATCCCGGGACCACATCTTATTCATCCCCTTCACGGCACTGACCGCTGTTCGCCTGTGTGTGGTTGTCTATTCCTCACATACCTGTTGACTTACGTATGTGCCACCACGTCCCCTTTATGTATATGTTTATCTGTGTGCCATTATGTGCTGTCTTCATGCATGTCGTTTATTATTAAATAGACATATTTATCAATTCATTTTCTGAGGTTTTTGTTTATTTGAGAGAGACGGAGACAGCATGTGTGGAGGAGGGACAGAGAGAGAGACAGAGAGAGAGGGAGAGGGAGAGAGAGAGAATCCCAAGCAGGCTCCACCCTGTCGGCACAGAGCTCCACGCGGGGCTCGAACTCGCGAAACCTTGAGATCAGGACCTGAGCCAAAACCACGGGGCAGACGCTCAACCGACTGAGCCCCCCAGGTGCCCCTGTCTGCATGTTTCTGTGTGTGATTATGTCTCTACACACCTCTACCCGTGTATTATCAGAGGCTTCTGGTGTACACGCGGTCATGTACCGTTTGCGAACTCACTTACGTGTATGTGATCATGTACCGTTTAGGAAGGTGTGTACCTGTGTACCATTATGTGCTATTTATGTGCACGCTTATGTGGGCGGTGCCGTACTGTGTATGCACATGTTTACCTGGGTTCTATCACGTGCAATTTATGTACCCACCTACCTGCGTGTAATCACGCACTGGGCACGCCTGGCTACCATTATGTGCTGTTCCTGTACCGGCTTACCTGTGTCACGATGTCCTGTTTAAGCATGCATTTACCCGTGTCCTATCACGTGACCCCCACCTCCAGAAGGTACACTTGGGTGGGAAAAGGTGGGCCCACCTTGATCACTGCTGCTTCCTTGAAGTTGCCAGAGCAGCTCCTGCGGGCACACGTGCCAATTGAATGGATGACATTCAATTTTTTTTTTTTCCTGCTGTAAAATGACCCTTTCTGAGACGGGACATCTACCTCACAGCAATGCCCAGCACTGCTCCTGGCCATGGCCTTGAGATCAAGGCTGGTTTCTTTTGCCTGCTGGATGTGGTAAGCTTGGGATCTGTGACATTTGAAAGCAGGAATCTGGTGTCCCCGGTGTCTGCCCCGCTACAACTTAAACATCATCACTTTCCTCTAAGGAAAATATTCTTTCATACCCAGCTCAGCTATCATTTCCTCTAGGAGGAAAGTCTACTCAAATTTAGCTCCTCATTCCAGTTCCTTGGCATCCTTGTGAGGACAGTATCCTAAGACCTACTGTCTTATTCTCCCTCCGGGCTGTGCGAACTTTGGATGTGATTGTCTTCACATTCGTCCAGGTCATCAATGAAACTTTGGAGGATTAATTCATACAGATCCCCACCCCCCCAGGGTGGTTTTCAAAGTCAGTCCCTGGGTCTCGAGCGGGTCTGAGATCACTTGAAGAAAAAAAATATCCCAAATATTAGGTCATTTAAAAAGAGGTAATAGAAGCAGGAGAAGACCTTACAAACATATGCTTCAATCACATCATTTTCAAATGAGAAAACTGATCCAGAGAGAAGTCAGTCACATGTGGAGGGGCAGGGCTAGGGGCCGGGGGGCCGGTAAGTGGGCGAGTGCCCTTGGAAGCCCGAGGTCATGCCCCAGAGCAAGAAGGGAGTGACCCTGCCTTTCTGGGGCCAAAGGGGCCAAGGAGAACAGCTTCCTCCTCTTGCCACTGGCCTGGAGAAGCACGCCCAGCCAGGGCACCCCCCAGTTGCCTGGGAGGAGGGTACTGGGAGCTGAGATGCAGAGCCAAAGATCAGAGGTCAGAGGGCCTGGCTCTATGGGACACTGGCATTTGGGGGTGAATGACAGAGGCCGAGGTTGTGGCTAGCCCTGGTCAGCACCAGTAGAGGCCAGGGCAGAGCCATTTGGAGGCAGACAAGACCCAGAATCAAATGGCTGGGTCCCCACCGCCGAGAAGATGCTGGGCCTTTTGGAGAGCCCTGGAGACTCCAGAGTGAATGTAGAAGAGAGAGTAAGAAACTGGAATTCATTAAATCCCTAGTCTCATCCTGAAGGGGGGAGTGACAGATGTGGCTATGGAATAGCTGGGGGATGCAGCAAAGGGGCAGTATGGGGTAGGGGACGCTCAACGGGGGAGAGGCTGAGGGCAGAGCTGGAGTGGTGGAGAGGTGCCATCACCTCACAGGAACGACCGAAGCAAAGACACAGCAGTGAGAGGGGAGGACAGGGTGGGGGGGGGTGGGGGCGGTGGGTGAAATATGGCGGGGGGTGCCGGAATCTTCTTCCTTTCCCGTGCCCACTGCTCAGAGGCAGAGAGTTACCTTGCAGATTCTACCTATCCCTGCAGTGAGCACAGCTTGACACTTCAGCCAAGAATTGAAGAATGAATTTGGGAGGGAAGACACCGAGGGGAAGGTTATTGGATTTTTTTTTTTTCTTTTCATCTTTAGATAGATGAAACCTACAAAAGAGAAGATTACTGGTCAGTCCCTGCTCTGGCCCCAAGCATATCCTGTTTCTAGACAGGGGATGTTCTCAACATCTGTGACCTTGGCTCTGAACCCACAGAGCCCCAGCTGGACCTCCTCCGCAAGGCGGGATGTCTGTGAGCAGCAGCCCTCCCAGGGACCCCACGGTCCCAGGTTGTGGGCAACTTTGGTGGACCATGGAAACGGGCGGGGCCTCAGTTTCTAGATCTGCAAAGTGAGCGTCTTAGCTTCCCCCTGAGATTGTTGTCAGGGTTATACGAAATTATATTTGTTGCAAGGCTCTCTGAACCAGGAGGTGGGCCATGAGTGGGAGGACCAGGTCCCCCCACTTCTTTCCCTGACCGCCTCTTTGTCACCTTTGTTCAAACACAGGTCTGGGAAGGACAAGAGAGAATAAACACTGTTTTCACACAGTGGCGGGCTTCTTGAAGTGCTAGACCTTGGGAGAAAGTGGTAGGTAGCTCATTTTATTTTTATCATTATCCTGAACCGCAGGTATTTTTCTCTCTAGACGTGAGACATCCAAAGCTCTAGAATATTCTGAACCTTGCCCTCTTTCTGGCCCTCTGTGCTTGCGTACCAGAGGGGTGGAGCCACATCTGTCTGTCCACGTTCACCTTGTCTCCAGTCTATTCTTCCCTGGAGGGTATTGGTGGGTTCATGAACAGTCTGCATCCCAGTCTGCATCCGGGAGGGCGGGGTGGGGGAGGGGGCCCTTCTCCTGTGAGGGCCGGGACCTGTGTAGGCACTATCCATGTCACGTGTCTTAGAGCTCCATAGGGAACTACTGATGTCCACGGGGCAGACAAGAAAGCCCAGGGGCATGAAGGCCCACTGGCCCGTGCTATGTCACTGAGATCAAAAATAGAGCCAAGCATTGGTTCAAACCCATGCTGTGCCTCCTCCCCCCGCATCCCCTGCCCAAGTTGGAATTTGGAGACAGTCGAGGGGACAGTAGTGACAGAGGCGGTGTCTCTGAGTCCAGTCAGTGGCGAGGAAGGGAGGAAGACGTGGTGTCGCCCTTGGGGTGGCTTTTCGGAGAAAGCAGGGAGGGGTGTGACTCTGGAAGGACAAGTCATTCTTGGAAGGGAGGCCTGGGCCGGCAGAGGAATTTTGTATCCATTTGACAAGTGAAATATGGACACACACCTAAAAATAATGTGTTTTAAGATTCAGTATGCAAATTTGTGTGAACATGGGACTCAAGATAGATCAGTGTTACGTCAACACGACCAGCCCCCAAACCTAGCAGACCTTGATGAGCGAGCCGGGGCTAAACTCGACCGCAGAAGCTGCGTTGCGCATCACTGGGATTATCAGCGCCGTCAATGATTAATGGATCAGTATCAATATTTTAGTGTTATTGCTGAGTGTGGGTCCTCATAGCCTTAATAAAAAAAATATCTTTGAGCAGATCTCTAGGGGCGGTCATCATTTGGATATACAGCAGAACCTTGGTTGGTGAGCATAATTCTTTCCAGAAGCATGCTTGTAACCCAGAGCACTTGTGTATCAAAGCGAGTTTCAAGAACCATTGGCT